GTTATTTCAGATTTGAACATCAGGTCAAGGCACAGGGAAAGTTAGGAGTGATGAGTTAATTTTGCGCATGCGGAGGGGGGGGGGGCAGACATATCCCCAAAATCCATGATTAGCTTGTCCCTGTAGTTGAAATAAGCAGCTGGTTCACTTTTTTGCGAATGAGAATAGATGAAAAAGACTGTACTGGTGAGTTGTAACAACTTGTTGGAGGAACGAGGGGTGGGCGGGGTTGGGACGGGGGAAAGGTGGAAGGAGAGGGGAGAGGGGTGGAAAGAAGAGCGTGTGAAAGCAGGGAGTTATGCTGGTGCTGTATTTGCAGATGATGAATGTTGGATTTGTGACAGCATCCGGCAAGGATATAAAGGTGAGCGAAGAGGCGCTGCAGAAAGCCCGAGATCTGTTCGAAGAGCTCGAGAACAGCGACGATTTACCGGTGCAACGAGCTAGCACGCCGAACACGTCACACATCAGCAATGTGTAATCTCTTATCATTCTTTCTAGGTAGAGCGGGGCTTACTCCTCTGACATGTATACCAACAATATCAAGATCGTCCAGACAATCGGTGTGAGGATCCCATGTTAGTGATATTACTTGTGGCTAGCCTGCTGCTGCTGCTGCTGCTCGTGATCTCGGCTTCCGTTTCGTCTCCTCAGCTAAGAACTATTCTCCGGAGAAGCAGTTGACAGGGAGTTATCCATTTCGAAATTATCTCTAGCAATCCTCGACAGCGCTCTCGATTAGTATGTTGTGTATGCAGAAGAAACGCAAATTTTATTTTTTCTATGTTTCATAGAAAATACGAGTGGATGAATCTACAAACTCGGGTCTTTTTGGGTTTAGCAGTTCTTTGGATTGCGTAGATTTGCATTGGGTCATTTCCCGGATACAAACAAAATTTGCTATGTACTCACCATTTATTTTAGTGATTCCACGCCTGTTACCCCGGTGGCCTTCAGTACAGCAGGAGCAACAATGCGCCAATGCTATAAGCGTATATCGCCGGCATTCAGATCGCCCGTAGTCAAGAATCCGCGCCTCGAAAATGGTTTGATTTTGAAGCATTTCTAAAATTTCATGAAATTGTTTTGCGATTTTAACCCGCACTCTCCATCGTTCCGTTATTTTAACAAAACAATAAATACAAAATAATAAAACGCGAAGACCACCCAGAAAATAGGTATGAGCCACTCTGTGTCAGTTATTTTGCTCGTGCACGCTACACTCGCTTATGCCGGGTCTCTTGATCCTGAGCTGCATACCTCCAGTTAGCACCCACCAACTGTGTATTTTCTTATAAAATCGTCCCGGTGGTCGTTTAATTTACCACTCACCAATACCCGGCATCCACCGTTTTTCAGCAAGACAGAGCAGCGTGCCCAGTCCCTGGTGTTTTGCTTTTTCGTTTAGCAGCGAAGATTCAAGTAAAAAAGTAATAAGTAATAAATTAAAAACTTTTTCGAATTAACCCTATATTTTTTAGTTGGCAATGTTAATAATAGCACTGATTTCATTTCACCGGTCAAAAGGCCATCATTGCCAGAGGCGACACCCAGAGCTTCAGTGACACCGAAAAAAAGTACGTTGAACTTGTTATACACTCAGTTTGTTTTATTATATGAATAGCGTTATTCGAAGCGTAGTGCTAAATGCTTGGCATGCATATCAAGGACGTTTCGGGGCGGCTAAAGCCAGCACGTACTTCCATCGAGAAAACCTGGTAATCCTGCAAGGAAAACTGACCAGTAGGCAATGTAGCACTGGCCAGTTGCGTAGTCGGTGAAGCAGACTGAGAGTTGCGACTGATCCAAGTATCTAATTAGGGAAGGTTTTTATGCGTTTTTTGCAGCAATGCAATGCGAAAAACGCATATTGACGAGAGGTTGTCTGTG